AGATTTTTTGTAATTTACGATTATTAAAGAAGTTATCATTTACGTGATCATTATTAAGTTTGCCCCTGGTGAGTGCATTCATTGAAATTATTAATAATTATTAATGAATGTTTTCACTGCGTTGTAAAGAAAGCAATGGTATTTGATCATTTTTCACTTTTCGAGAATTCGGNAGATTTTTTGTAATTTACGATTATTAAAGAAGTTATCATTTACGTGATCATTATTAAGTTTGCCCCTGGTGAGTGCATTCATTGAAATTATTAATAATTATTAATGAATGTTTTCACTGCGTTGTAAAGAAAGCAATGGTATTTGATCATTTTTCACTTTTCGAGAATTCGGCAAACGTTGCGTTACACAAATCACAGTTAAAGGGGCATACAAATATTACTTATAATTGTGAGAAATATATCATATATCATTGATATTCAATCGCCATGCATCTTTATCGTTATATCCGCTTAAAATAATTCGTAATTTGAATGACTATACTTGACACACCTAAATGAATTTATAGATTCAGAAAAGTATCACGAGATGATAGCAGCGACTGAGAGTCCGCCAGGATATTCCGGGTCGTTTCGATTGAAAGATGATGCAGAATTTCCACCTGTTACACAAAGGACGGATTCATTGTACTAATTCCAGCATATCAAACAAATTTCTAACGAAGATGAATCACTTACGTCGACGATCGAAATTAAGCATATGTGTGTAAACACCAGTGTTACATACTCGTGGCTAAGGTTGTAATTTTAACACCTTGGAGACGAAGCGCTCGGAATGGAACACTTTCGATCAATCTTGTAGATTCAAAACGACATTGAATTTGATGCGAGGTATGACGAATTATATCGACGAATTAAGGACAAGTCATCGATCGAGTTTCGGCTGCTATCGCATAAATTGTCTATCTTTGACTTGAGGTACGGTTCGAGTTGCTACAGCTGTCTCTAAGGTGGTAAAACGTACTACGTACATATTGTTTAGCATGACATGACTGTTGTATGATGTGAGAGAACAAGTTATGGAGCGTATATCAGTTATGTAACTAATTCCGAAATTATCGTATAATAAGATACAATTTTTATGTGGTATTGGGAATGGATATTCCACAAAGATTATTTTAACTCCCTTCATCAGATTGCAATATTTGCAAGATCATCTTATATCGCAAACATTATATCATCGTTCATCGATATAAATGCAATTAATCAAAGCTGCTGTAAAGTGCTTTAAACAAAAAATTTTAAAACCTAGATTCTGCTTAAAAGTATTTCACGTAAATGCTTAATATAAAACGATATTATAGACAGTTAAGTATTTTTACCATGCATAAATACATAAATGATTATCACGAGAAACGATGCATGCGTTTATAAATCATGGAAGATAAGATGTTTATAGAAAAAGGAACAGGAACAGGGATATTTTTACCAAATATCTTGTATAGGTTTTTTCGTTACATTAAGATTTGCAATTGTAATTCCAATATTGTGTATATCCGGTGTACTTGTTTCTCTTACAAAATGACATCAATAGTCACGATTGAAGAAAAAAAAATGAAATGTGATGTTTACAGAAAATATAAGCAATTCTGGAAATAATTTAACATTGTTAACTATTCTGAGAGGTACATTCTTGTTGACATTTTCTTTTTTTAAGAATTCAAATACTCGAAACATTCAGAAAACTATATATGCGTTGTCATATTTTCTCTATAAAAATGTGTTCTTCAACTTGATCATCACAATGGTCATTTACAGTTTAAGCATATACAAATAATGATAGTTCATGTATACAAAATTTTAATTGTATTTATGGTTTACATAAGCTTAGAGAAATTACTTGTTAAGCGTGTTAAGTAAAATGCAGTAAGTTTACATACTGTATTAAGAGTTTCATCAATCTTAGTTTATTACGGGCGCATGTGGTAAATTACAGTCTTCGGTAAATCTTTAATCTTTGATATGTTAAGGGAAATCACAATTGCCACTTTCAGGGCCAACAGAAGCGGGGCCAGTTAACAGCCACTTTCGAGCCACAAAAATCAATATTTTATCGCGTTCGTCATTTCACTATCAGCCAGAAGTAAATTCCGATGACAGTGAAATGACGAATGTGGTGTGCTTATCGATTAAAGAGGCTGGAAAGTGGCCCGTGCATGTTGGCTCTTAGAAAAAAAAATTATCTTTTAAAGGAAGAAGTAAGTACTGTTGGATTCCGGTTGAGGAATAAGTATAATACGTTTTAAAATCGAACAAAGAGATTTTTTTTAAGAAGAGCGTTGCATATAGCAAGTATAACCATGACAAAGGAACAGAATTTGCTTGTGAAAGAATGAATTTGGAATTTATGGGCTTGGCTATGTAGGTATAGACGTATGTAGTAAGTATGAAAGTAATTTGGCTATGTGCTAATGAGCTGGCATTTACAAAGGATAAGTAGCAATAACGTGTCGATCGAAGCTGGTATCCAACAGTACATAAAAAAAAAGAAAAACATAAACATGAAGAACCAATTCGTGTGAACACATGAAATAAGGAAAATTAAAAGAATTCTTAATAATAACAGAGCATAAATGCAATAACTACGTTGATTCGTAAAATAAAAAGTCCTACAAAAAAAAGATCACATATCTATTTTCATTAGTATTAGTATTATTCGTGGTGTATTTAAAAAGATGTATAATTTTGTAATTATTTCCTATGCACAATGTTCGTTTTTGTATATTTTCTGCTGTTGATAATGGGCTAAGTTCTAGAAAACTTGTTTCCTGTAAAAAAGAAATGTTTACTATTAAGAAACTTACCAGTACTTTGTATAACTAACCGATTTGTTTAATATAACTTTTAATCAGCCTTATACGGCACAAAATGATCTAGTTAAAGATTACCTGAGACCAACGCACATATTTCGCAGCGGCCACGGATTGTCTCTCTGATACTTTCAACAATAGAACAAAACATGTGGTATTATCGCGCTAATGTCAAGATACATACAGCTTTATTGTAAACATTCAACCAACCAATGTAAAACATTCATAGCTATCACGAACGTTTTATCACGACTAATATAATATTGTTTAATTCTTTTTTATCAGTCGTCCCGACTGGTTTGGTAGCTCTAGTATTAAAACTAACGTTCTAAAAGCTGAGTTTATTGGCAGTTATCAACCAAATCAAAATATCATTTCTAACGACAAAACGTTTAGTAATAATATCATAGAGCACAAGTTAAATCGGATAATAACGTATGATTTTCTTTCTTTTTTTTTTACTGATTTTAGAATGTAACAAATCTGAGAATGTGTCGAGGTGATAACATTCCATGAATGTAGAACATACATATGTAGAAATGTCCATATGTATTTTCCGTATTGTTAGCGCTTGCAACGAGGTTTCAGGTCAAACCGATAACCTTGCGATCCAATTTTCTTTTCTATACGTATGTATGTAGCCTGTGTATTATCAGTTATTTTGGTATGCATGATAGGTGCCAATCAACTTCAAAATGTATCACACATTTTTATACATGTATAGTCTGTACAATCGGATACATTGTGTATAAAGTTTTATTAATTGAATAGATTCCATATTCTATTTTCAGTTTTATTATTTTTTTTTTATCATGCTTGTCGAGATCCATCTATCCGACAAGTATCCTTTTTTTTTTATTTTTAATACATCTCTGTGCCCGTATTTGTTATTATAAAAAATAGGTATTCATCATATGAGGGAAACATTTGGGAGTAACTCTGTTAAAACGGTAAGGCTTGAGCGGATCTTGAGTCTGATACGAATTCCCTTTAACCGTCTAAAATCGCGAGTGTCGCATTTCTTAATGACTGAACATATCGAGGAAGGGGTTGCAATTATAATAATAATAATATAAGGAGTATTATATACTCCTATATAATATAATAAGGAGTATTAGAGACTAGGAAGCGACTTGAAATGTGGTAGCTGGATGCTTCATCAGGACAACGCATGCAATAATGTATCCAGTAAATTCCTGGTAAAATACGCAGCGTAAAACTTCGCCAGCTTTGATACACATATGTAGCAACCCCTACGCACAAATATGCATATAAATGCAAAATAATAACCGTAGAATAATGGTATATTTGATAAATATTCAGATTTTATTATTCCCCTTTTTTTATTTTTCCAATGCTATACTAAATATTTTCTTAGACGAATATTTATAAAAGTGTACGTAACATTAACTAAAAAAAATAATATCGATCACTACCCTTAATAAAATTTAAGAATCGTTAATGCAGTTCACTGTTTCACAATCTACGACTATACCTTGTTCCTGATAATACAAGTTTCAGTCGATACGATAGGATGCGATACGAAAATGGTAATGAGATAAGTAAGAAAAAGAATGGACCGTAGGCTGGTGCGATCAACTTGAAATATTTTAGCAAACATTGACTTACAACAAGTATCAATGATCGCTTCGACGTGTGCGCACAAGGACCGATTTTTCAACATTAAAATTCCAGAAATGCTAAAACTTAGTTTGCTAAGTAATTAACACCCTAACGAGCTTTCGTCACTAGTTGTGCAGTGACTAATATACTAAATATTGAACATTGTAAAGTAACTGAAATTACGAATTTTCTTTGTGCAAGGACTGGAAACATCGTGACTTCAGAAAGAACCAATTTGCGATATTCTGAAAAACCGTAAAAATAATAATGAATAGGCGAGATTGAAGAAAAAAAGGGAGTGCTGTGATTAATTTCGTTACAGAAATATTACGAATTCCACATATGACATCTATAATGAATAATGCGTATTTACCATCGATTAGAGTGACTTGATTTTATTAGACTCGTTCGGTAGCTGCAATTAACATAACCGAAGTTAACCGAGTGAACTTTGTAAGAAGTTAACAGAAGAAAGATGATTATCGTCGGTCGATAGGTTAAAAGGATGCGCCGGAGTTAGCGCATAACCTAGAACTATTTACGATTTCGCAAGTCTATACATATTGCCCACGAAGAGTGTCAACATGCACGCATTAATAAGTTATTCTTAGCTGAAAACCGTGCAAACGATAGCTATAGTTATTAATAATAATCTGAAGAAGTCACAATGTCAAATATAGCGAGGGTCTTTCGGCTCGGTCATTTGCGATTATTATACAAACTATTTGTTTTGTCGGCGAAGATCGGTGCAGCTATAATAAACGCATCGATTAAAGGAATTGTATCGTTTGGTTCGAAGAACTTGTTAGGAGAAACGGTTCTGGTAAATGACAACAATATTATTAAATATATATAATTAGTATTATTAAATATATAATATTAAACGCCGCAAGCCGACTAAGTATAGTAAATTCTCCCTAAATTATATTCTTTTTTATTTTTTATTATATTATATAATTTTATTTTCTATTTTTTAATATGTAATAATATATTACATGTATATTTAATGTTTTGACAGGTTTAAGCTTATACCACCAAATTTTTATACCATAAACGCATCAAATTCCGTGGTCTAATAACATTGCTTAGAATTTGCAAATTCAGCTTCAGCAGTCGCAGGCGTATTTTGATTAGATCACCGGCGCTGGACACGGAATCGGTCGTGAGTTAGCCGTTCAGTTAGGCTCCCTCGGATGTATAGTCGTTTGCTGGGACACGGACTTCGAGGCGAATCAATCAACGATAAGAGCTGTGTCCGAAAATGGAGGAGAAGTGAGCTATCGTAACGCACCGATTAACGCTGAATACATTTTCGAAGACAAAGCATTTGAACGAGACAACGTTGAACGAAGTCATCTCGCGTGGCGCATAAAATGGTGATACGAGAACGTGCGATTAAGAATGAAGTTTCACTTGAATTTTCAGTTACTTTTTTATACTTATGAAACGTAAAACGTGGACAGGTATTTGTAGGTACAATCGAGCAGAGGTTGATTTTCGTGCGCAATCTCAGCGCGAATTATGATGAAATTACCGTATCTCTTGGTTTTCATGACTCACCCGATATAATAGATATGTATGCGTATTAATGAAACGAGTGCAAAAAGTCACGGAATTGTTGGTGTCTTTTTAGGATCCGCAAAAACCGTATTACGTATATCGAATCGGCGTTAATTGAACCGCCGTTAAAACAGACGTCTTGCTGCAGAAGACGTTGAGATTTTGATTCTCATTTTGATTTTGTATGACCTAGGTGTACGGCTTTCTGGTGGATGTGTCGAACAGACGGGCGGTCTACGAAACTGTAAAAATGATGAAGAAGCAAGAGATACCGGACGTCTCGATCCTAATTAATAATGCTGCGGTGCTGTACCACAGCCGGTTTTTGAACCAGGACCAAGAACTGATCGAGAAAACATTTAATGTCAACGTCCTCTCGCAGTTCTGGGTATGGACTCGCCGAACATTAGCTCAGAGAAAACTCCCGAAACTAAGATTGCCATGTGACAAACGTTATCGTTCGATAATCAACCACATTAATCCATATTAATTAGAACTATCTTTGTCTACGTCTCATCTGCAAAAGCCGTAAGTTATTCCCGTTTTTTTCCTTTTTTTTTAGTAATCTCTATCGTTATTTCCATCGTTCGAAATATATAATATATATTATTATATAATATATATATATAATAATATAATAATAATTATATATATTATATATATATATATATATATATATATATATATATATATATATATATATAATTTCACGTAATTGATGAATTTAACTGGTACATGAAATGAAATGGAATAAAATAAAATAAAGTTTTCTGTTAATAATTTCTTTTTCTATAGAAAGTATAAACCATGTATTTCAGAAGAAGTTAAAAAGCTTTCGTCAGAGTGTTATTTCATAAATGCCGTTAACATTCCCACCGCAGCTCTCCTATCTGTTTCTCGCTTTTAATTAATATTCAAATATGCAATTCTTTCAGTAACGGTATTTATATATACGATTTCAGTCGAACATCTTTTGGCTAGATTTTACACTCGCGTAAAACCACTTCCGAGCTGAAAATCCCGCTTCTGATAAAACGAATTCCCTAGCTACACAGTATGCGAATGAATTTCTACGTATGCGAGCCGCAAGGCTCGCGTAATCGTGTCTCCTCTTCCCGAATTGTCCATTTTTGCGCGCAAAATATGAGCGCGAATTTTGGGAGAAATTACAGCAGGGAAACATTTTGACGCGTCGCCGCGTTTTCGCCAGACGATCCAAGCGTTCCTTCCGAGCATGATACGAAATCAAAAGGGACACATAGTATGCTCGTGCAGCATGTGCGGCATGTACGGTGTATCCGAGAAAGTGGCGTACTGTTCGTCGAAGTTCGCTGTCCGAGGTACAACTTGCTGCGAGAATAATAATCTAATCTTCGATTAGATTATGCAACGATTAAAACATCGATTCGCTTAACAGGACTGATGGAAGCGCTTCAAGAAGAACTGCGATCGGACCCGAGGACCGCCGATATACGATTTACGACCATTTATCCGTTTTACGTGGACACCGGATTAGCCAGGGACCCGAAATACAGGTGCGGAACGACCGTCGATTTGCGAGCCTACGACGAGTCTAGTTCGAAGCTGAAACTAATTTAAATAATCAACCGACGATTAGCTTTTGCTGATTTACATACGTATTTCATCGAAGGTTCCCTTACATATTCGGAGTCGTGTCCGCGGATTACGCGGCCCAAGAAATGATCAAAGCGATAAGAAGAAATTACACCGAGTACGCGATACCTCGTTGCCTTCTCACTCTGAACGCGATCAACAGGTTGGATCGTTTAATATGGGACAAAGAAAAAGGAAATGCGATTTTTTGTCACCGGTAACAGCTCTCTACCACGTTTATTTTCTTTTTTTTTGCCCTCAGAATTCTTCCTGACCGCGCGATGAGGCTGATTCTCGATTTCCTCGCGAACGTGGAAGAAAAACGGCACGGAAACCTTGCGACGGAAGACGCAATTCGGTTTAACAATTAAAAAACGTGAATTATGCCTGTGCAACGGTAGGATCCTGTTGAGAAAGTCACGGATGAAAAGCAACGTGGAACATCGCTTAGAGGGACGATTATGCTTTTAGGATTTACTAGAATCTGCCTGGCCATTGTTGACGAAGTTACTGCTTTCTATTGTCCACGATTATACTAAATAATAATAACAACATATGCAGTCAATTTCAAAATTAGTGGTACAGTATGTTTCAAACTCTAGCTCACTAGATGTGGGGTGATGATGGTTTGGGTCGGCAACTAAGTAATCGCCGATTTGTTCAATGAAATACAAATTTCTTTTTACTTGGAACGAAGTTTAATCTGTAATGTATTTTCCATTTTGATCGATGACCTTTCGCCATCTCTCTGACAACTTGAAAATTCCACGCTCGTAGAAAGTCTGATCCTTTTCGGCCGAAAACTGAGTTAAGTGAGATTTTACAGCGTCGTCGTCGTTAAAAGTTTTACCACGAAGGGAGTTGTCCAGGGATCGAAATAAGTGGTGATCCGATGGCGCGAGATCAGGGCTATATGGTGGGTGCGACATCAATTGCCAACCAATATCCATCAATTTTTGCCGAGTGGACAAAGACGTGTGCGGCCTAGCATTGTCCTGCTGGAAAATGACACCTTTACGATCGACCAATTCTGCTCGCTTTTCCTTGACCGCTGCATTCAATTTGTCCAGTTGCTAACATTCACGGATAATAAAAAATAACATAATAATAATAATAATTTTATAATATAACATTTACAGATATCATAAAAATGGGAGTGAGAGACGTCTATAACTGAAATCGGCGATTACTCAGTTGCCAACCCAATAGAATAATTTATAATATTAGAATAATATCAGTAATTACGCAGACGATTCTATACAAATTACACCGTGCCTTGAAATACAGGCAAACGCGTGCACCGAGTTTCCGAAGATTTCATTCGGGGAGACGATGTAATTGGCAACAAAAAGACATCTTGCCGGCGATATCGACACTGACATTTCGTTGCATATTAATTGTTACAGTTGATTGGTTTGCGGCGACGTATCCCAATACAGTCGGTGAAAACAGTCTACGCGCACTGTACGAGAATTTACTTTGAAGTTGCATAATTTGCAAAGAGAATGGTAATAAATTAGGAATATTGTTTGCCGAAGCATTCTCGGATCTCGAAGATATCGATTGATATTTCTAACTCCAACTCTCTCGAGCCGTCATCGATCCCCCGTTGCGAACAGGTAATCGAAACGCAGACTCATCCCTCCTGTGACCTTGGCCATGGCGATTAAACCGGACTGGTTCAGCGATTATAATGCAGAACCGTTGAACTGGATCCTCACGCATCTGTGTACGCGGTCGTTGCAGCAGAATTCGCCTACGCGTTTCATTGTATGCACCTAATCCGAGATGGTCGGCCGCGAGCTTGTTACCGATCGGCTGGAAACGGTGAATTCTAAAGCAAACAAAGCAACGGGTCTGGAAGAGAGGAGAAGAAGGGAAGAGGCTGACGGTGGCGACGACCTTGCGTACTCTCGACTTATCCCAACATGTTCGAACGGAACGATATCCAGTCAGGTTGGAGCTATTTGAGCGTGCTGTGTCAGGCGGCCGGCACCACGCGGCGACTTCTTCGCGGACTCGTCCCTAATCGGTCGCATCATCTTCCGCGGCTCCGTTCGGCTTCTGCGGTTCCGTTTGAAAAGTTGCAGATCGTCCTTTGAGCCGGGATGGTGCGGCGTCGGCAACCAGCCGTCTTCGAGAAGATTCCGCGAGTTTTGTAAACGCTCCCTTGAACGCAGAGTTCGTCTCGAATCGATTCGAACGCCCGGATAAGGGACTAAGCTAAGCTGTTCATCGTGGAGCATAGTTAATCGTAATCTCAGTGCTTCGCATCGGAATAGGTGATTCATCTCGGCGCAACGATTACACATACCGGACGCCACCCGCGTTTTCATACTTAGCTCTTGGTCTTTCCTCGTGCTGCCGCGGCACCCGCAAGTTCAAGGTAAGCCTATTGTAATAACGATTTTAATGATGAAATTGATGGAATTGCATGGAAACGGTCGTGCGTAGTCCGATGTAATTTGCAACAGAAAGACATCTTGCCGGCGATATCGACACTGACATTTCGTTGCATATTAATTGTTGCAGTTGATTGGTTTGCGGCGACGTATCTAATACACAGTCGGTGCAAAAAGACTACGCGCTCTGTACGAGAATTTACTTGAAGTTGCATAATTTGCAAAAAGGATGGTAATAAATTAGGAGTATTGTTTGGAACAACGTCCTCCGCACCAATTTTTTATTTAATTTATATTATATTTATATATTATAATATATAATATATATTATATTATATTATATTTTATATATTATATATATTATATTATATTTATATATTATAATATATAATATATATTATGTTATATTATATTATATATTATATATATATATTTATATGCCATTTATTATGCCAAAGAGGATGCGAGAAATCATAAAATTGAAAGGCAGCCCAACGGACCACTAGTTAACAAATTATAAACAATAATGCTACATATACAGAGACCTCCTTGACCACATTTTCGTTGAGTTTGACCTTTCCTTCCGTTTATTCGCTAACAAACAAATGCAACACCGTTCTTTGTTGTACTGTTAATAAATGTTACGTTCGTGAGCATAATAACGCCAAAGATTATTTGTATATTACTGTTTTTTCTGTCAAATTATGCAACCGCAAATAAATTCTTGTACATCGTACGGAGACTTTCTTGACCGACTGTAGTATGTATATTATGTATTTACGCGGCTAGGTGTTCCGACTAACCGTTTGGTTACATTTCCTGACGCCAATGTATGCAAATGTTGTGTTTCTACTTCCTTATTTACAGGAAGAACTTTACGAGACTACGGAATAACATTTCTCGTTCGTACTGGTTACGAGCACTGTACTCGTTTCTACCTCTATGTGCTATTAATTAATTGTTCTTTTAATTAATTATTATTCCTTAAACATTTCTTGGCGACTACCGCTATTAATTATCTATCCATTTAAATCGATCCAGTCAAATAAAAATGTTTCAAATGGAATTCGAATGGTTTTCTTTGG